AGTACGTCGAACAGCTCTTTGGGCCTCCGACGTAAAACCCAAACCAATTTTTATTTATTTATGGGGAATATCCGGAAGTTGACCCCAGATGGTACATCCACCATCCTCAACTACTACTCTAGAATCCTTCAGAGAGGCCATTTTCAATGGAGGTCTGGTAATCTTCGGAGCTTTGGTAGCAGTCTTGGTCGCAGCAATCGTCTGTGGAACCTCCTCAAAATTTTGGCATGGGGTCTCAATGAACTCGCCGTCCATTTCAACATACCCGAAAGAGTTCAGATGGCTAACCATGTACTCATCCTCCCCATGGACTGTGATGATCTTTCCCTTGACTGGTGTTGTACCCCAAAATTTGCCCTCTCATTTTACTCAACACATGCCCATTAAGGTCCTCAATTTGTTCAAGGATGCCCAAGATTTGACCAGACAAACTCTCTCCTAAGGCAATGTACCTCAAACTAGGGTCTCCATTTTTATCAAGATGTGTGAACTCCAAAGGTCCCAAATTATTTCCATGGTCCTAATATGTTCTCAAGATCATCCATGTCAAGTTTCATGCCTTGCACAAGAAGTTTGCTCAGTCAACTGCTCAAATGCCTAAAATTCAATTGTACTAGGTCAAAAGTTAACTGTGGCCCACATACAATCAAATTTCAAGATTTTTGGTCAACATCAACATTTTGAAATGATATTCATAATTTGATCAAGGTTTGATCATGATTCCTCAAGGAATGCCCCAAATTCATCAAAACCCAAAAGTTGCTAAATTAGGGTTTCTTAGGAAAAGTCAACCAAACTTTGACCAAGCATAACTTCTTCATACTTTATCATAAATTTTCCATCCAAGGCTCATTTTGAAGCGCATGCAATTCCCTACAACTCATCTTCATCCCACAAGTTCAAAATATGCACTCATCAAAAGATATGAATTTCTACATTATAGGTCCTTTTGAAAAGTCAACAAAAACACCTTTTGGGTCAAAGCTTCTTACATGAACATGGAAGACCCAATTGAGATGAGACCAAAAGGGTTGTTTAGGGGACATCCTAAGCTTTCTAAAAAGTCCAAGAACACCTCTTTAGGGTTAAAGTTGGTGGAGATATGTGTTGCACCCCAAAATTTGCCCTCTCATTTCTCAAAGAATCACTCTGGATCCTCAAGTTTGCTTCCATCCAATTCCATGCCTTGAACTACAAATTTCCCAAGAAAATCACTCACAAGGGCAAAATGGTCATTTTCACACTGAAAAGTCAAACTTTGACTTTTGGATCAAAATCAAATTTCAAGAATCATATTTCATCAAGACATGTTGAAATATGAAGTTTATTTCATTAAGAAATTCAAAAGTCAAAACTACTTTGGAGAAGTCAAAATTCTAAATACTTAGAATTTTTTCTAAGTGTTTAAGAAAATATGACAAGCTCAGAACTTCTGGCCAGATTATCACCGTGATGCAAGCTGATTCTGGAAGAACTTCTGGAACAAAAGTTATAGATTTCAACAAGATCTAAAACATTGCATAACAGAACTTCTCCTAGAAATGTTGGGATTTCAAGTTATAACTCCTCAAAGACATGCCCTTGAAACTGAAACACTCAGCAAATTCTAGACACTTTCAAGACAGAGTTTGGTCAGAACGTCTGGGAAAGTTTTCACAAAGGTTCAGTTAGAGTTTTCTAGGGTAATTCAAAGAAGGTTAAGAAGCATGCTGCAAGCTTCCTGGAAAGTCTGAGAGCTCCTTCAGAACATGTTGGAGCCAGGAGATACAAAGATCAGAGGTTGGATGTTACGTTGAAGTTGAACTTCTGATCCAGAAATAAACAATGATGCAGAATATCACGTTGCAGGATTTTTGGGTTGATCAATCTCATCATCATTTAATGCTCACAACCACTTTTAAGTCTTTATCCAAGGGATTTCCTCCACGTGTACCTCTACTGTCTTGGGATAGCAAACTTTGGTGCAAAAGTGTACTAGGCCCATGTGTTGCTTTTGCTTTTCCTTAATTCCTGCTGACAAATCTAGTTTAAGCATGGCTAAAAGCTGCTAACCATAATGCTTGCTTCAAGAACAAGGAAACACCTTAGCATATGAAGGCTATATTCAACGCTTTGGTCAGAACTTGACCAAATCCCAAAACATTGTTTATACAACCCGCTACAGACCTATAACCAACAGCTAATTCAGCATACGCCTGCATCCCATAATTGCACCAAACTAGCATACGAAGACTGTGATCAAAAGGCAAGGGAACAAGATGCCAAAAAGGTTCAAATCCCATTTGTTTTTCCCCCAAAAAATCACAATAAATCCACCTATAAATAAGTTGCTCCATCACACTTGCAAAAAGGGGGCTGACTGGCTTTTGGAGAGAGAATCGTCAAACGAGAGAAAAGGAAGTTGTGAAACCTTCATAAAAAATCCAGATTTACCAAACAGAAAACAAAACCTTTGTTCTCCCTTTTGGATCAAAGAACATAACCACTATTCCATCACTCTCACTGACACCAGAACATCTGAAGGTAGCAGCTCAAGCCTCCAAACACTACAAGAAAAAATGAGTTTTACGACACATGAGTTGCGACGGTTCCCATAAATCTGTCCTTATTCTTGGACTGCGACAGTTGTCACGACAGTTAGAGCCAACCGTCGTAGATTTTTAAGCATATTGAGTAACATAATTGAGACAGTTGCCAAAGAACTGCCCTCTTTCCACACTCGCGACCAGTATAACAGATTGTCGTGACTACTTTGACCAATCATAATTATTATTTTGTTATTATTTTATTTTCTCACTTTTTCCATTTGTTTTATTTTTCCATCTTTTCACTTTTATTAATTAAATATAATAATAGTAATTAATTAATTATAATATTAGTATTATAATATTACTTACTAACTATTAATTATATTAATAGTAGTTATATAATATAATAGTAACTATATTAATATTAGTAGTATTTAAATAATATAATAGTAATGTCAATATATATTCAATAAAAAATAGAATTATAGCATATCCCACGACGGTTCCTTTCACCGTCCCTTTGGCTGGAACGTATCATATCCCACGACGGTTTAAGAACCGACCCCGCTCAGATTTATGATCGTTCTCAACCTTTCGTAACGTTCTTTCAATTCACGCGCTAAGATTCTCAAATTCTACCGCAATTTCCTTTTCTTTTCAGAATCACAAACTCCTTTGTACATAAAGACGACTACGTGTCAGATCTGAGATATCCAATCGAAAGCATCAAATGTCCTCTAGAGGTCTTCGTACTGGCCTCCTTCGATTGCTAAGCAAAGGGGAAGATCTCTCTTTGAAGTCGCACAAAGAAGGTATTCCGTGTCGCACAAATCAGCAGCAATGTCTGGAGAATCCGCCACCGCTATTCACAAGGGTCAAGTAAGATTCAAACTCTATCATTCACTATTATGATCATCGTCAAGTTTATCTTATTTGATTTAGAGTACACAAGTTCTAACCTAGTTCATATACTCTTGATTAGGTTGATCTCTTAGGCTTCATAGATTGGATTGGTGTTGAATGCCTCAATCAAAGCACCACTCTCTCTGTTTCCAGTGCTATCAAACAGGTTATGTTTCTTTTTTCTATGATTCAATTCAGAAGCAAAAACCCTTATTGTGTTAGCTATAATTTTATCTTAATGTAACTTTGCTTGATGAAAATTAGGGTTATAGAGAAGATAAAGGTTTTCATCTAGAAATTGATGCATATGAACAGTTTTTGCTTTATATTGCTTTCACCCAAGTTATTAAACTTTATTCCATTATTGTCAAAGGTCCTGAAGATAAAGTTAACCACTTAATCATTCACATTATAGAACTAAACTACATTATTAATTTTGAAATCTCAATTGTTCTAGAACTGATGTCAGTGTTTTATCTCTAACTGACAATAATCAACATTGACAAGTGAGGTGTCCTATAAAATAATGGTGTTGTTGGTGGTCACTTTTTTCTGTCCAATTAAACTCTAATTGTCCATAAATTACATAGGGAGGTGCTGAAAGGGAACAAGGATTACTTCAGATACTGTAGGAAACTTTGGAACAATCTCACATGTAGGAAACTTTAGCAAGTAAATTACCCGTGACATAGAACAGAAAGCTTGAAAGATTCGAGATCAAGTAAATTACCCGTGATATCAGTTCTCATCTGACACGCTATATATATAAATTTTATGGTGGTAATTGTTTTTCTCAATTTTATAGGAGATCTGAATGTGAGTGATTGCATTAATACTTTTATGTCTATGGCATGGGAGAGTAGAGTTCTACTATGATAAGATTATTATAGAAAGAAACGGGACATGAGGGATAATATTTCTAAGGTTGAGCTCAGTAGACATTTTATATCGCATTCTCAAATCATTTTGTCACTATGTGATTGTCACAGAATAAAACATCTCTAGTCTCCATTCATGTTTTTGTCTTTGCTTCTCTTTTATCTTTTTGTGGGACCATCACTCAATTGGACTAACATTTTCTTTCTTTTTATTTATCCATTGATTTTCATGTTGATTTTCATGTTCATACCAAGAATTTTAAGTTACATTTATGGTGTTTGTTGTTTCCTTCAACTTGAATTATTTATCAAGTGATATAACATTGCGTCTACATAGACCCTTACAGTTTTATCATTAGTAAATTATGATCCGTTAGATCGAGAAGTATGAGTGTTATATATAAATTAATATCGTATGAGTGTAACACGCGGCAACGGCCACAATTCAGAGGCACACAATGCACTCAAAGTTCACTGACTTATCCATAATGCAATGACTATATAATAACCACTAAAATGTGAAATATTGAAGACACTCAAACCCATCATTTATGGTACACTATCTTAACGAAATTAATTCATCAAATTTGTCTCTATGACCTCTCTTTCATGCTAAAATCCAACTACTACACAATAACAACACTGTCTCACACATAACTGGCACCAATTCACAAACTGTGTTTCAAAACAAATGATTCTGCTTAGAGTATTACGTTTGTTTATATTCTGTTTGGTTTTATCAACACTTTGTTCCATTACCAAATGTGGAAGTTCAGATGTAACTCTGAAATTCTTGAAAGCACCTCATGCATTTTCTCACTTGAATTCAGCAACATTTGCTTTTGAAGTTCTTAATTCTGGTAGTAACCGTACTTGCTCAAATTGCAGCCTCAGTTGTAAGGTTTGTATGCCACTAAGTTTCTGTAAGATTATGTTTAGTTTGTAACTTTCTAATGGTTTCGTCGATATTTAGGCCAATAAGTTGTTTTGTTTCTAAGCTTACTATGTGTGCAGCTTGATGATGGGGTCGCGTCAGTTTGCACGAACGGGAGAGTTACATACTCAAGCTTGCAAGATGGAAATCATGGTTTTGAAGTCTGCACCAATGGAAATCATAGTTTTGTGGGTTGTGCTAGCTACAACTGGACTGTTGGTTAAGAAACCATACTTCATTCCTATGTTTTTATTTATCAGTCTGTTATTGCCGATGAATTTGGCCTTTTACATGCTTTTGTGTCTTTGGAGTGATAAAAATCATTTTTAACTTTTTCAGACACAATTCCACCAACAGCATATGTTACAGCCTCAACAACTTTCACAAGTTCTTCAAATGTTTCGGTAAATATATCTTTCACCGAACCGTGTATAGGTGAAGGTTTTGGATGCAAGTTTGTGAATGCCTGCAATGTAAGCATATGTCCATCTACAATTGCTTAGATTTCTCAAAACAAGACGGAGCGAGTACTGTGTTACCATAATATTAGATCCATTTTTAACTTCTTGCTGTTATATTTCTTTGCAGCTTCTTGTCTATGGTGCTGGCCAGGTTGTACCATCTTCCTTTAGAGTTCTGAAGCCAAACCTCATGTATTCTCTTCTTGTTAGTTTATCTCCTACCGTTCAATACGGCCGAGCAATCCTGGTAATGGATAGGAGTTTCTGTACTGACATAGCTGGTAACAGCTTTACAAGAATGGCGAATTCGAGTGTTCATCTACATATTGGTGAGTGCTATCTTTCTTCTGTCATTCTAGCGGTATTAGTACTGGATATAATTAGTAATTCACGAGGATTTGATGTTCGAAAATATGATCCACAGACAGAAGAAAGGTTTATGTCAACATCAGGACTCGTGTACCTGAAAAGCTACTTCGAATTAACAGTGAAACTAGAACAATTCAGGCAACTAATGACCTTAACAAGCTAAAGGTGTATTTGTACTTCTCGTCTCCAATTGTAAATTCATCTATGGAAGTTATGAGTTCTCTCAACATTAGTCGTGGTTCACTCGTTCCAACTAGTGCAGAAAATCTTGGAAATCGTAGATTCGGATTCATGGTTTGTTAATTCTTGGATGTGATCATATGAATGCTTTTCAACTGTATCTCTTCTCCTTACACAACTTTTTTCCGACTAATTGTTAATGCAGATTGCTAATATCTCCTCCACTACTATAGTCTCGGTTGAATTCAATTTGAAATCTATAATAACCAGACAAGGGACTCATGTTTCTCCAACTGTGCCGGTTAATTTTCTCTATGGTACATATTAATGATGTTACTTACTCACCAAGTAAACACTGTTTGGATTTATAAGCTAATATTTTCATGGAATTCAGATTCTAAGAGGCCTGCGGTGATGTTAAGTACACATAGAATGAGGACAAAAGATCACAATATACAAATATTAATCGAATTTTCAAAGCCTGTTTTTGGATTCAATAACTCCCGCGTATCAATTTCAGGAGGTTTATTAAAAAGGCAAGTGTAACATTGATTCACTGAAAAATGAAAAGTCAAAAGCAAATTGATAATTGATTTTTTTCTCTTGCAACTTTTCATTTCTGTCTAGCTTTCACAAACTTAGATGGAGCACATACATTCTTGAGCTACAAGCGGATGATGATTTGGTATTCGTCAGTGTTCCCGAGAACGTAACTCGTGATGTTTCCGGAAACAAAAATCTAGCTTCCAATGTTCTACAAGTGAGGCACTGTAAGATTTTCGATACTAGTAATCAAAATTTTTATTTTCATTTGTTAGATGCAAGTTTTTCTTAAAAAAATCTACTCATTTATACATATTTACGATTTCATGAATCATGCAGACTCAATACCTCTTATTTCTTCTGTGATTTCTGCATTTACAACTGCTACTTTTGCGCTGACATCGATTGTTGCTGGCCTGCTTACTATCTCAACTGCAAGTCTTCAATCAAGTGATATAACTTTAGCAAGGTAATCTCATCTATTTGATAAGTTTAGAATTTGCTCAATCACATGACTTGCCAATGCAGATACACACAGGGTAATGCATGCTTTCAAATTATTGATTTCTATACATTTTTAGATGAATTTACCATAAACTTTACTTTGTAAAATTAATCAGATTTGGAGATAGAGGTTTGAATCTGAGAATGTCCAATCCTCTTTATCTCCACAATATTCTTGAGGACAAGAGATTTGCAAAGTGTAGGATTGTTCTTTTACATACATCATATCCATTCTCAAAGGAAGCATCATATCTAGCTTCTCTCTACTCCCAGGCAAACAATTCGCAACTCAGTCACTTGCGTTAGTTTGTTCGAATTTATATTAGCACTTGATTATAGAGCAAATAATACAATCTTCTTATTCAGGTTTATCTTGATTTTGGGTTGGCTATTCCAAAGCTTAGTGTTCATGGCATGGTTTCTGCAGTGAAAGATCTTTTAGAGCAAGCACCATTAAATAAGGTGACACTATAAGAAATTCAGAAAGTACTGTTTTTTATTACCTTTTGTTAAATTCATAAAGGGTAAACTTTGTATTATTGCAGGTGATGTTTAGTACTGATGCTTATGCCTTTCCCGAACTCTTCTACTTAGGTTGGTTTAACATCGATTATTATGTTACTTAATTTCAAAGATTATACTCTGTGAAGATTATTGGTTAAAATCACGAGTTTTGTTGTGACAGGTGCGAAAAATGCCCGCAAAGTTGTTTTCACAGTTCTGCGTGACTCGTGCATTGATGGCGATCTCACTGTTTCAGAGGCTGTGGAAGCTGCAAAAGACCTCTTTGCACGAAATTCAATCAATTTCTATAAGATTATCAGTTAACATTGTTGTTATGTTCAGATGATTATTGTGTTGAAGACTTTATGTTGGGTGGTTATTACTTTTTCATTAAGGTTCTATTTTAGGACTATAGTTTTTTATCAGTTATCTAGTAGTTGTCAAGTGTTGGTTTTTAGATATGTTGTTTTTCAATCATATGAAGTTACTTTTTTTCTTCAATAGGTGAAACTCTAGTGCCATTTTTATCATTATGTGCTTTTGATGTATAGTAAGAAACTTTGTTACATCTTTTCTTTATCCTACTCTGGGCACTTCGCTCAACAGGTCATCATGACATGATTCGAACAGCCGAATTGGTGAGATAGTTGAAATTATTTTTACTATATTACAAAGTGATAGAAAATAAAACAAAAAATGATACTATAAATAAATATATTAAAGAAGAAATAATTTAAAGAAAAAAATAACACAAAAAAAAACTATATTTAAATTTTTTTACATAGATAATAATTTAAATAAAAAATATATATAATAGAAAAATAAAAAAAAATCAAGACATAAACAAAAGTCATGGCGACAGTACCGAACCGTCGTAATCAACAATTAAAAATAATCAACAAAAGTCATGACGGTATCGAACCGTCGCCATAAACAATTTAATCAATTTCAAAAGATATTCACGACAGTATCGAACCGTCGCCATCAATAATTAAAAGAAACTCAATAGATAGTCACGACGGTATCAACCCGTCGTAAACTTGAACGACAGTTTTTGTAACCGTCGCGAAATAGGTTGGGGACACACACTTCTGCGACGGTAAAGCAACCGTCGTGGAAAGCAAATTGTGACGGTTTTAACCGTCGTAATCTACAAAAATACCTGTCGCAATCTGCCAATTTTCTTGTAGTGAAACACACGCTACAGGTTTAAGGTAAGTCTTTCTGACTCTGCATCTTTTCATTCAGAACATCATTAAACATGTAAATATCATAGTATTGATGTTGTCTATATCATTGCATGAATAGAAAAACTATGGATCAGAACTTCTTGATTAGGGCTAGACTCAGATTTAGGATTAGAACTTCTATAAACGGTTGTGCTATTACCCTTATGATTTGTTGTTTATTAAGAATTGAATAAATTGTTGATGTGATGATTAAGAGTTGAAAGGCATAGAACTTCTGATGTTCACTCACAGCTTTAGCATAACACAGAACTTCTGAGTTCTCCTCACTATTTAAACACACTGAACTTCTGATATTCACTCACTAATAACACGTTGAACTGCTGATTGTTCACCCACTATTTTAACACTTAGAACTTTTGATTTTCATGCGCTGATAACACGCTGAACTGCTGATTATTCGTTCACTGTCTTAGCACCATACAGAACTTCTGAGTTCTTCCTACTATTTTGACATGCACAGAGCTTCTAAGATTTCCTCACTGTTCTAACATTCAGAAGTTCAGCACATACAAACCAGAACTTGTGTTTTCCCTCTAACGTGTCTTGCAGGATCTTAGAGTGTACCAATCCAGAACTTCTGATTCCACTCACGTTCCTTTCTGAGTCATCACGCGCCTGGCTTCAGAACTTCTTATCCTTGTTGTTTTTCTTGCAGCAGCATGTTGTTTCTATCTTTCATTTATTTTCCTTTTCATCATTTTTAGTATTAACATAAAAAGACATAAAAATATTTTTCTTTTATTAATTTATTTCTATTTCATTAAGATAAAAAACCATTTTCTAAACAAGCCCTTTTTCTTTCTTGTATTATACATTTCAATATGGTTGTAATAGTAACTTAGGATTTAATTTTATTTGCAACCCCCATTTGTAAATATGTACCCCCATCCCTAGAATATTGTAATAGCGTAGGACTTTACATTTCTGCAATTTATCGCTTTCGAATGTAAAATGCTAGTAATTAGGGTGTGTATGGAAAGACATGAAATTGATAAATAGATCAGCCTAATCAAGATTAAAATGCATGTAATCAAACACACTTGCACACTAGCACCCTTAAGGGTAACTCCACTTGTTGCCTAAAAATGGCCATGTTATGCATGTGGGATGTCTTAGCATACACAAATAAAAAATATAAGATCATAGCCCCTCAATGACGCTATCAAAGTTGCATTTCAAAATGATCTTAGTCCCTAAAGAAAAATGCTAAGTCATCTCACAACATTGCTATCATGACTATACAAACGTCCCAACACATGTCCCTTCATATCCAACGATGGGGCTTCTTACCAACTCGGTGGTAAGATAGCAACATCTAAAGGAGGAGGAAAAGAACATTTAAGACCTTTTGAGTAGGTAGATTTTCTCCTAGTTGCTCGCTTGCTCATAACAAAAACATTTTTATACACCAACACTCTCGTTTTGAAACATTTTTCGAAAGACAACACTTTGTACGCGTTCTTATAGAGATGAGAACCGTTACAAAGACACCTTTTCAAAATAACTTTCAAAAACACATCTCGCAAACACATCTTTGAACTATTTTCTAAACAAACACTTTGTATGCATTCTTATAGAGACGAGAATCATTACAAAGTCACATTTTCAAAATACTTTCAAAACCCACAAGCACATTCAAACAAAAGCAAGTGATCTAGCAAGTAACTAAGAGCCCATGGAAAACCATGGATGCAAAGGGTGCTAACACCTTCCCTTTTCATAATCTACCCCCAGAACTCAAGAAAACATCTCTAAAGGTCTTTCTTGTGCTTTTTCACATTTTCTTATTGGATAAAAGAAAAGTCGATGGCGACTCTTGCTAAACCGCAACATTTTCAAATACAAACGCAAACACCCAAGTCAGTTCTCCCACCGTATCACAATATGTCTTGTCAAAGTTGACCATTTTTGCAAAATTACAAAAAGTCAAATGTGCTCAAAAATGTATTTTTTTTGTCAAATGGGCCTAGTTTTTCATGATGGCATCTTGCTTGTGTCATGGTCCACGACCCAAATCAGCATCTACACTTTATTTGCTTCATTATTTTTTTTATTTAAAATTCAAATTAAATCAAATAAGTTACAAAAAACGTAAAGATTGATTTTCGATCTAATTTTTTGTAGGAATCAAATCCAATCAAGCTAGCATATCATATCCAAATCGTGCAAGGGTTGATTAAAGCAAAAATAACATGATTTTGGTTGTTTTGGAAAGATATAATACAAAAACAAAATCAAATCCAATCTCCTTAATTCACCAAGCTACAATGCGTTTTTGTTAACCTAATTTGTTCCATTACAAATACAGAACATAACCAAGCCAAAAGAACAAGGATTTGCAGTAGAAAAAGGCCATACCAAAACTCAAACAATTGGACAAAACTGTTGGATCGTTTTTGGACCTAGAAGGCAATTCAAAGCATTTCAACACTCTCAATCGTTTCCTGGACCTTCCCAGAAGCTAACACGGTCATTTGCAAGCTTCCACACAGCCAGAATCACGAACTACAGACCCACGGTTTGCTCATATAATCTTGAATTTGATTTTACAATTTACGCATGGTTAACAACTTTTAAGCATGGTGTGATACGGTGGCAGAACCGACAGTTTAATACTATTTTGCGTTTTGCGTTTTTTGTTTGCAAAATGTCGCGGTAAGCAAGAGTCGCCACCAACTTTTATTTCATCCAACCGGAAAGGAAAAAAGTACAGAAAAAATCCTTTTTCGAGATTTTGAGTACGGGGGGTAGATTATAGAAAGGGAAGGTGTTAGAACCCTTTATATCCATGGTTTTCCATGGGCTCTTAGGTATTTTCTCATCTTTTTAAAATTTCTTGTGTATGTGCTTTGTTTTGAAAATGTTTTACTTCGCGATAACCCTTGTATCAGTCCTCAAGGGTGTGACGAAGTTGTTTTGGAAATTTATTTGAAAAGTGTAAGTGTGAAAAGTTTTGATTTAAGCAAGTACCTACTAGCATCTACCTACTCGAAAAAAAAGATCATTTCTATTCTTGTTTCCTTTAGACAGCGCTATCCCACTATTAAGGAGTAGGTAGCACCGTCGTTGAAGTTTGTAAGGGTCAATTCGAAAGGGACGTGCGGTCCCTAAAGCAATATTAGGACAACTTAGTAGTAACCCTAGAGTCTTAAGATATTTTTCAAGGCAACATTTCCGAGGCAACATTCGAATGGGACATTTGATCTTTTTTAGACAGGAGGGCAACCACTAAGACACCCTATGCTTAATGATCGTTTACCGAAGGCAACCAAAGTGAGAGTATACCCTAAGAGTGAATATGTGTGAGTGATTTATTTTCATCTTATTATCTTTTCACATTATGGTTTTCTAACCATTTTAATTTTGTCATGCATTCTTGCCATACAATCCTATTAGCATACATCTAGCAGTTAAGTATTTGCGGGAATTAAATATGCGAGAAAATAAACCTAGCTATTACAAGGCTTCAGGGAGGGGGATTAATTACATAACCAAAAATCAAGGATTTAAATAGTAAATAAAAACCCTAAGTTAACTATTACAAACCCTGAACAGTTACAAAATAATGGCAAAATAATTAACAAACGTGCGGCGAATTAAATGCGAGGCGATTAGGGTTTTGACCCTTTGATTAATCCTACTTGCGATTGATTAAAGAAAAATGTTTTTTGTCATGTTTTGTTATTTGAGAAAATAATGGAATAATTGAATTAAAATAAAATCCTAAGTTCTAATTAATGTTAATTTTTGAAAATAAATTAATTAATTCTAAACAACCTATTTTTGTATTTTTTGTTTGATTTGAGAAAAAGAGAAAAATTAAATCAAGAGTTAACCTAATTTTCTAATTTAATTTTAATTGTAGAAAAAATAAATTAAAGTTATCCTAATTTAAATATTAATCTAATTAGTTAACAAAAATTTAATTTAATAAGAAAACAACTAAATCTAATTTTTTATGACCTTTTTTTTATGATTTAATTAAAACTGATTTTAAGAAATAAAATAATTAAACAAATTAAAATATAAAATATAAAATAAGAAAAGAAATTGAGAATTGGGCCTGTTAATGCT